TTACAAGCAAAATTATTTAATGAATTTGTATACAAAATGTACAGAAAGGTAAAATCATCAAGTTTTGAAAAAGTATTGCAATTTAATTTGGTCTTTAATGTTATTGTCTTATATATATTATCTTTGCAATATGATTATCTTATATAATGTTATTACTATCCTAAAACATTCTCCAGGTCCTCTGAATCTCTGCAGGACTTTTTTCCACCCTGCCCAGCAGCCAGAGTCCTGCACTGGGTCGGGTACCTGCAAAAACAGTTATCTTGCACATTATGATCCTCCGCCGTATTCCTGTCTGTGACCCCCGTTCAACCCACAACCGCCGTGATAATAGGGGCGCCCCAGCGCCCACTCCACTAACTTGACGTGGAAATGAGCGGTAGTCTAGAAAACTGGCGAGTTTTTTTTTTTTTTTTTGGAGAGCGCTCATGCGCCCTCACATAGATTGCGCCCTGGGCGGTCGCCCACATTGCCCATAGCAAAAGCCGTCCCTGCCTCCGCCACACTTTGACTTATTTCCACCCTGCCGACAGTGGGACTTATATTCATTGTGCCGACAGTGGCTTGGAAAACCACCCATAACCGTGTCACACGGGGAAGAGGGAAGGCGCCTGGAGTTCCTCCAATATTTGCGGTTAGATTATCATATTTCGACAAAAATATAGGCTGCTTCCGCAGATTTTTTATGCGCACATGTGCCCCTAAATATTTTTTACAGTTCGCACACACCTATTTTTAGTCGCAAATGCAAGTGAAACGATCGTACTGTTGAGCCCTGACTTCTCATTTGAGTTTAATAAATGCCAGTTGACATGTGCAGAGGTATTTTTGGCTGTGATAATTGTGCTGTGAGGAGGTGATACTAGACTGGTTATGCAGAGTTACACTAACAGTGTGTGTAAAAAGTTGCCACAAAACTGCAGAGTGAAAACACTGCAGTAGAAAATGAAGTATCCCATTACTTTGTTTAAATAACTGTACAGTTTGTATGCACAATTATTGAAGGTGTGTCTTAAAATACACCACATGAGGCATGTTCTTCCTGGTGCCAGAGGTCGTGAATCAACTAACCACTGTTCAATTTATACTTGAAAGGCCTGCAGTAAAGAAAACAGGTTTAGGATTCAAAGGTTGGATTCATTACCTACTGAGGAAATTAAGCAATCCAGGATACATCACCAAAAAGGAGGCTTTTAGCAGAGTTAGACTGTCTGCATGCTCTGTCATCTTCTTCTGGATGAATAAAGAATAAAGTGATGTGTTGTTGACTTTATTTTCTCTCTTTGAAGGTGTTTAATTCAAAAACTGCAGAGCTCCTCAGCCATCATCAGGTGGAAATCAAACAGAGCTTCCCCAAAGAAGGGTAAGACACATCCAATACAGCCCCTGAAAGATGCACACACAGTGGGTCTCATTCATGAAATGTTAGTCAGTCTGTGAGTGATCTGCACATAAAAAAACTTGGTGCATATTCTGTTACGAAAACTAACTACGAAACCACGAAAAGATTGGAGCTAACATATTCATGAATGCTGAAATACAAATTCGTTCTGCTCATGTTTCATGAATGAGACAAAATGTGTAGATCTTAATTGTTGTGGTTCTTCGTCCTAATTTTCAGATGGGTGGAGGAAGACCCCAAAGAAATCCTGCAGTCGGTGTATGAGTGCATGGAGCGGACGTGTGAAAAACTCACCCAGCTCAACATAGACATCTCGAACATTAAAGGTATTCACACATGGGGCTTTAGGCTGCCATCTGCTCTCCTGAAACAGGTTTTATTTATGTTGAAGAGGTGTTAACATGTTGGTTGAATCCGTCTAGCTATTGGAGTGACCAACCAAAGAGAGACCACACTTGTTTGGGACAAAGAGACGGGGGAGCCCCTCTACAATGCAGTCGGTAAAGTTGTTGTGTTTCCTTCATTATTTATACTTCATTTTCATTTATCCTTGTACAGATTTGACATGGTTTACACGTGTATGTAGACACAATGGAACAGCAGATAGAGTTGTTGTAATTGACTGATCTTTGGTCCCTGTTTGTACAGTTTGGCTGGACCTGCGGACTCAGTCAACAGTTGAACGTCTAATTAACAAGACCCCAGGAAGGAATAAGAACCACTTAAAGGTGAGCTCCTTCTGTTCTCTGTTGCATCATGACCTGCACACCTAGAAGGTTTTTATTGCTCGTCACATTGCATGTTTTTTATTTAAGCAATATTGCACCAGAGGGAAATGCGTACGTACCTCAACGTTAAAGCACACCCTCGATTGTAATATTCTGATTATACAGCTATTACCAAGAAACTAAAATTCTTAATCAAAATGTATTCATGTTTAGGGACAGTTAGGTCTCAAAATAAAAAACTTTCAGAAAAAACATCCCGGGGGCTCACTACATCGGAAACCTATCAACATGCTTGCATTAATGGAGCTGATTATGTCATTGTCATCCTACAGCATAAAACGGGGCTCCCAATCAGCACTTACTTTAGCGCAGTGAAACTACACTGGCTGATGGACAACGTGGACGAGGTCCATGAAGCCGTTGTGTCTCACCGCGCCATGTTCGGCACTGTGGACTCCTGGCTCATTTGGGTGAGTAACAGTTTGTATGCAGAAGTAGTGACAATCTGGAGCAGACGGAGTTGGTGAAAAACTGACTTTTTGTGTGCGTTTTTGATTGCTGTCTGACAGTGTTTGACAGGAGGCAAGACAGGCGGAGTCCACTGCACAGATGTGACCAACGCCAGCAGAACCATGCTGTTTAACATTCACACTATGGACTGGGACCCAGAGCTTTGCAAGTATGACAGCTGTCTTTTGTTGGCCTTTAATTCCACTGTGCTGCCTGCCCTGCTTAAAGCCCAGTTCAGACCAAAGATTCATAACGATGCAGCTACTTGGAATGAGCTGTTCTGCAACATTCTGAAAACCTGCCGGTTCTCACCAATGCAGCTAAATGTGAGGGTGTATCATCTCTATGCAACAACTCTCTCTCTGATTTCCAGCTTTTCAGTCTTATCTTGTGGCTCAATATAATTTTTTGCTTCTAAAATATTAATGAGGATAGTGATAGTGAGATACTGGCTACAGTTGCATTTGTAGTAGTGATGAAACAGTGAAAACAGAAACAAAACGAAACAAAACGAGCATTAGATTGACTGTATTCATAATAAATATATGTATTTGAAGCATTTTAAAGTAAAAATAGACAAGTTTTTGCTTAAACTTATTATGAAGTAAATGCTGATTGCTCTTTGTAGGGGCTATAGAATAATAACACCATCTGCGTTTAGACAGGTTCCCTATAAAGTGCTGCAAGTTTGACGTTTTTTTTTTTTTTTTGTTTTTTTTTTGTAAGTCAACCCAGAAGTTAGCATCCCCCTGGTTCCTTTGACAAAACTCCAACAGGATTGTTCCATAGGATTTTGAATTATTACAGAAATTAGGCTCTGTTGCAAACAAAAGTTTATTGTACTTCAGGGTGTCCGCGGGGTCTTTAAAAGTATTAAAAGTTAATAAATCAAATGTCGGAAAATTAAGACCCTTAAAAAGTATTAAAAAGTCTTAATCGCGATTTTATGAAGTATTAAATTTTCTTGGCATTCAAGCTTTGACAAAAAGTATCCATGAATGTATAATTTATTTTCCTCCTCGGGACTATTACAAACAACGATGTGTAGGTAGGCACACTCAGACTGCCACTTGGGGCCATGCACGTACCTGTGCGACATCAATCAATCAATCAATCAATCAATCAATCAATCAATCAGTTTTATTTATAAAGCCCAATATCAGAAATCACAATTTGCCTCACAGGGCTTTACAGCATACAACATCCCTCTGACCTTTGGACCCTCACAGCGGATAAGGAAAAACTCCCCAAAAAACCCCTTTAACGGGAAAAAAACGGTAGAAACCTCAGGAAGAGCAACTGAGGAGGGATCCCTCTTCCAGGACCACAGACGTGCAATAGATGTCACACAGAACAGATCAGCGTAATAAATTAACAGTAATCCGTATGACACAATGAGACAGAGAGAGAGAGAGAGAGAGAGAGAGAGAGAGAGATGCAGGACAGACGGTAATGACAGTAGCTTACAACAACATTAATGAAAGTAATAATATTATAGTTATAGTTCTGGCTACTGTGGTACAATATGTTGAAAGTATATATTAATATCTGGCAGTATACATGTGTGACAATAGTCATATGTGTATAATAACAGTAGAAGTATGACTAATGACTAATGATGGCAGCATCTGGCAGGACCACGGCAGCAGCACAACCACACACGTCACACTGTCCAGGCACCGCTACAATACGAGTTAACCTGAGAGACAGTGGAGCACAAAGGCTCTGGAGAAGAAGCCGAGTTAGTGACATCCAGAATGGCCGAGTTAGCAAGATGCAGTAATAGAATACGAGAGAGAGAGAGAGAAGGAGAGAAGGTGCCCGGTGCATCACGCAACAGCGCATGTCCAGACGCCAAACAGAGGAGCAAAAGGCAATAAAAAATCCATCTCATCTTATTTGAGTTCTGTTGTATGTTTGTGCTCCATAGATTTAATTTCAAACTACAACTTTTTAGTAAGTTAAAGATGCGTTGCTGCTAACGACAGCTTGAAGTGGCGATGAGGTCTTAAGGTTTTTTTGGAAGGTCTTAAAAAAGTCTTAAAAAGGTATTGAAATTAACCTCAGGATTTCTGCATATACCCTGTACTGACACATCTTGTTCTCCAACTTCACTTTTATGATTTTTTTTAAGCATACTGCAATCAGCAGAAGTAAAAAGCCAATGTAAGGCTATGAAAGAACTATATCAAAGTCCAACAATACCACTTGGAAATGTGGTGATGCTTGGAAATACCACTTTAAACTGAATAATTTCAGAATATCTTTTTATCGCATCATATGATGTTTAGTTTACAGATAAATCATCCAAATAAATAAAATGCATGGAAAGCAGAATTGGCTTAATTATTCATTTCCTCTTATTCCTGTCAGGTATTTTGGTATTCCCATGGAGATTTTGCCCCGAGTGAGGAGTTCCTCAGAAATCTACGGTCTCATGGTAAGCATGCATAAATATAACATTTAGTCTGTTTACAATTTCACTACAATGACTGTATATATTAACTGCGTATCCTAATGATTTCATTGTGTCTGGTGTTGTGTTGAAAGAGTGGAATGTCTCCTGCAACAGGCCACTAATAAGATAATAGTTTGTTGTTTGTTCTAAGTGCATGACGGTTGAGAAATCCTTTTAGGCATTTTTGTTTTTTGTGTGTGTGCCATTGTCTCTCTTCTCTCACTGGTAGAAAATATGTTCTAGCCGGGTAAGTAATACTCGCCATCACTTTTTCCTCATCATGCAAAGTAACCTGTCCTGCTTCTCAGTGGCCAAAGTGAATACGCCATCACACAGTGCATTTCCAAGATTTACATAGGGGCTAACCAGCTGTGTGTCACATCACATTACATTTAACACATTTTTACAGGCATTTAGGAGCAAATAGTCAAACTGAAGCTCATCACTCACTGCTGCTTGGTTGTAACTAACTCATAACTAACATGGTACATTTGCTGTTGTATATATTTGCCACTGACCTCCCTTTATCCCACAACGTGCCCAAAATGTATTTGTATTAGAATAATTATTACCTTTGGCAAAATAAATTCAAAATGTTACCTCGTCTGTTAAATGTGCTGTTTTTAGTGCAGACTAATCTGTGTAAAACATTTGATATAAATCAGAGTCAAGCAGATTTGTAGTTCTAGCTTTGATGTGATATTTGTCTTTTTGTCTTTCTCGTCTGGACTACTATTTAAATTAATGTTAGGAATATGTTCTTATTAACATTAAATCACATCTGAATCAGAAATACTTTGTTGGTCCTTGAAGTCGTGTTGTCACAATACTGGAATTTATAACTCTGATACAATACCTTGAAAAAAAAGTTATTCAATACTTTTTTTTTCTGCCACAGGAAAAAAAATGTTACTGAGGTTATACATTTTAAATGTTTTATTAAAAGATAATTATAACAACTTAACTCAAATTTACTAATAAAGCATATTAAAAAAACAACTCACGTCAACCAAAGGGCTGTACAAAAGAAATAAATCCCTAAAAACCCAACACGAGAGGCGACATAACTGTCAGGTACACAGCTCATATATTCAGAGACACACGCAGGTACTGGCAGGTACACACAGAAACTTAATTCCAGATGAATGCTTACGTTGCTCTGTGTCTTTTGGATGTTTCAGTGGCTAATAATGATTGTTGTCAATCACAGACATTAGTGTGTCAAAGACTACATTTACCAGCCTTTGTTCAGTGTTTTTGGACACCGCCAACCCGCACACAAACATGAGGGCATACATGTACGCTCTATTGGAAATGTACTGGATGCTCCCCGTCTCCCATTGCTTGTGTTGTGGCATGCCACTCAGCTGGTTGTTAAGGACGCCCACTGCACCGTTATTCTCCGCAACGTTTCCAAATCTCTTCACTCTTAGGCACAGTTTTATTTAACTTACTCTGTCTACAGACAGCTAACGGACACATAGACGGCCTCACGTGTAGGAGTGAAGACATTTCAATATAAACAGGTTCATACTTGCCCTTAATTTCCCCTCACTGTTACAGTTTGCTTCATGTAATAAACTGTGGTAGAATTAAAATCCGTATATATGTGTGTTATTTGGCTTCATGTAGTCAAATAACAAGTGATTCCCTTCTGTTTTCAGTGTCCGTTGTCAGGTCAAGTAGCTCATAGTGATTAATAATCAAGATGTTTTTACATTGATGACTGATTAAATTGGCAATTTCTGTTGAATAATTGCTATTGATTTGATATTTTAGCTACAAATATGTGTATATAAGTTAAAGGTTATCAGTCTTTATATATTTAATTTAATTCTAAAAAAAAAAAACAGATTATTAATTCATGGTATTTAATGCTTTTGATATCCTACAGGCCAAAATACTATTACAACCAAAAAATACAACAAATTGCAAAAGAAACAAAACACTTTGAAGGTTTTTTTTATGTGACTTAAATATTAAAACACCAATTTACTTATTAAACAAGATTATCTTTTCTCTCAACAGAAATCTGGAGCTCTCTCAGGTATCCCCATTTCAGGGGTATGTTTCTCTATATTTTTGCTCTCCAACATTGTCTCCACGTCCTTTATAATATTGCTGTATAGTATTTCATGAATTTGCAATAGCACCACCTTATTGATTTATGTGTTATTTAAAATCAGTGTCTTGGAGATCAGTCGGCAGCGCTGGTTGGACAGATGTGTTTTCAGGACGGGCAGGCGAAAAATACGTAAGTAACTTTGGTTTTTTAGATTTGTAGTTTTTTTATGTACTTCTCTTCAAACGTATGGCTTCGTCTTTGGTAGAAATGAAACTACAAGTTTGATTTTATTATGCGTTTCAGGTATGGAACTGGCTGCTTTCTCCTGCGAAACACAGGACCTAAGGTACAATACTCAAGATGTGTACTTAAATAGTGAGATCCCTGCTCTCTGTGGAGGATGGAAAATGACTTATATCTATAGATAAATGCATACATAAATGTATAAATAAATACAAAAATAAATAAGAAAATAAGTAAATAAATACAGAAGAAAAAAATAAATACAAAAATGAACAAAAGAATTAAAAAAATACAGAAATAAATACATAGATAAATAAATGCTTAAAAAATAAATAAATACAGCAATAATAAAATAAATACAGAAATAAAATAAAAATACAGAAAACAATAAAAAATGCATAAATATATACAGAAATAAATAAATGCATAAATTAATATTTAAGTAAATACAGGGGCATGTAAATAATACAGAAATATAAAATAAAAGAATAAAAAATAACTGAAATACATAAATACATAAGTAAATAAATACAGAAGCAACATTTTTTTACACAAAAAGAAACAATACAATAATTTATAAAATAAATACAGGAATAATGAAATAAATAAGTACAGAAATAAAAATAAATACAGAAAAAATAAAAACATAAAAATGAAATGAAATATAAAATGAATACAGACATAAATAAATGCATATATAAATGCTGACATAAATAAAATAATAAATAAATAAATAAATGTATGGAAAAAAGTATGGAAATAAATAAATTGAGCAACGTTTATATATTATGCATGTATCTGTTTATGTATTTATTTATTCATTCTGTTATGTTTATTTATGCATTTCTTTATTCCTGTTTTTGTTTATACATTTATTTATTTATGTTTTAAAGTATACATTTATTTATTTTCCTATTTATATATACATTTGTTTATTTATTGATTGATACATAAGCAAAGCGCAAATAGCACTTGTTGCATTTTTCATGTTTCTGTTTTGCAGCCTGTCATGTCCGACCACGGTCTTCTGACCACTGTGGCATACAAACTTGGTCGGGACAAACCTGCCTGCTATGCACTAGAGGTATAGTATCTTAAACACCTGTCATTTCTTTCATGATACACTGTATTATAATCACTTTGTGCTTTAATCTCAAAGCTGATTTTTTTTCTGGTACTTGTTGCCAGGGCTCTGTGGCCATTGCAGGAGCTGTGGTTCGTTGGCTGCAGGACAATCTCGGGATCATCGGGTCGTCTGAGGAGCTCGGTATGTGCTTCTGCAGACAAATCAGATGTGACAAGCAACATACTCATGACTGTGATGTCATTTAATGTAAATCTAATTATCTATAAAGGGACAGTAAATGCAAGCAATAAAAGATGCTGAAACTCTTATACAGACAGTTATATCCCCAAAACTGGTCTGATGTTTCCTTCCATATTACTTGGATGTTTATATTAAGAGAAATACAGGTAGTGATGTAATGTGATTTACTTTATGGTGTACCCTTTTTTACTCCTTTCCCTTCATGTTTCTGTCTCATTGTAGAGAAGTTGGCTGCATCAGTCGGTACATCCTACGGTTGTTATTTTGTTCCTGCATTTTCCGGTCTTTATGCACCTTACTGGGAGCCCAGTGCAAGAGGGTAAGACCAAGAACTAACAACAACAAAGTCAAAAACAAGTCTTACTCTGATTAATTTAAGCTTTCTCTGTGTCACAGGATCATTTGTGGGTTAACGCAGTTTACTAATAAGAGTCATGTGGCGTTTGCTGCATTGGAAGCTGTGTGTTTCCAGACACGGGAGGTGAGTGCTCTCGTCTTCTAAGTGGCAATTTATTAAAAAACTGTCCCTACCAACAGACATAATACTAAGTTTGGGCTGAAAAACATTTCTAATGTCATAAAAAAGTTATTTGTTTGGATATTTATTCAATAAGATGCGTAATAATTCAGATATTTTTTAATGCAGATACTTGATGCCATGAATCAGGACAGCGGCATTCCACTAACTCAGCTCCAGGTGGACGGAGGAATGACGTCAAACAGGCTGCTGATGCAGCTGCAGGCAGACATTCTTTGTATTCCTGTTGGTAAGATATCACAGAGTCACAAGGGATGAGTATGATGCCAAATGGAAACTGGTGATGATTTTTTTTCCATGCTCATGACGGAAAGTCCTTATCTAGCCAACACTCTGTTGTATCAAACTATTAGGGTGCTTCACTGTTCTCTGCTGGCATCACGTGGAATAAATGACAACAAGTTGAATAACATGGAGACCCAGAACATGCTGAAGGGATTACATATCTCGTATTGCCTGGGAACACCTTGGGGTCTCTCAGAAGGAGCTGGAAAGCGTTGCTGGCAGGAGGGACGTCTGGGGTACTTTGCTTGGCCTGCTGCCCCCGTGACCTAGGCCCAAATAAGCGGATGAAAATGGATGGATGGACATGAAATTTTTTTTTAAAGATATTAGCGATGAGAACACGGTTTCCTCCATAATTTGCGTAAGAGGGCATTTTTTTAGACAAAAATGGGAGAACTGCTGCGCCCAAGTCATAGGTTTAGAAAAAAACATCATGGTTTGGCTTGACAATCATACGGGAAGCGAACACTGACCTCCCTGGTGAAAGTCCAAGGTTTGTTGGACCCATCCACCTCCCCTCCCGACTATCAGAACTTTCAGTTGCTTATATTACATTAGCATTAACATTAGCGGCAGTGTATCATACTGTTGTGACAGGTGTCATCCGACTACGTTATGAACTGACGCCATCTGTCCGCTTATCATATGTACAGCTGACCTGGACATATTGTAACAAAGGTTCTGTCCAACTGTTACACACTGACGCCGCCCAGCAGTGTAGCACAGCGGCGCAAAAGGTGGCTTTTGGTCATTGAACATATGTAAACACAACAGTCAATACTGAGGTCAGGAAAATGATGTCATGCCTGTGTATCGCACCACAAGTCGATAATATAATTATCATAACGGGCCTACTCATTGGGTTGTTGATTTCCCTAAAGGAATTAACAAGTATTGCTACATGATTGTTATTCATATTGTTGTTGTTACCTGTAATGATTGTACTGATTGTTATTCCAGTGAAGCCGTCCATGCCTGAGACCACAGCTCTCGGTGCTGCGATGGCAGCAGGAGCAGCCGAGGGTGTGAGTGTGTGGAGTCTGAGCCCAGAGGACCTGAGTGAAGTCACCTCTGAGAAGTTCGAGCCTCAGATCAACCCTGAAGGTACAGACAGGAAGCTGCTGCGGCCGTCTTTACCCACCTAGAAAAGTAAGTGTCTTCAGTAGCTGCTGTTTCAAAAGTAAAGGTGTTTCTGTGTGTTTGCAGAGAGCGAGTTTCGGTACGCTCGGTGGAAGAAGGCGGTTCAGAAATCCATGAACTGGGAGATGACAGAGCCTGCTGGTAATGGAAACGGTAGGCACATTCAGAATTGTTACTCCTACGATCTTCTGTAGTCGCACACTGACATTTTTACGTGTAGCCAGCCTTGTTGTAGACCACAGTATTTTACAGCTGTACTGAAAAGTTTAAAGCTTTGTCCATAATGTTGACACTCCAATTCTAAATGAAAATTTGAATGCTTTGCAGCTTTTTTTTGTTGTATTATACTTGTGACATGTTTGAGGCTTAAAGGATAAGTTTGGTATCCTTTAACCTGGACCCTATTTTCCCATGTCTTCTGTTTTGGTGACTAATGGGAGCAACAATTTTTGAAACTAGTCCAGTGTTGAGACTGCTGCAGCTGGCAGTGGTGAAACAGGTGATATTTAACCACTCACCGTCAATTATCATCCACTAAAATTGCTTGTTTTGTCACTGACAGGCTCAGATTGTTATTTAAGTGTCTCACAACATTATGGAACGGATCCCTACAGAGATAAACCTTTTTGTTAAAGAGTAAGATCCTTTTTGTTTAACCAGAAACAGCCCCGAAATCACCATCGCCAAACCCACCAGACTCTGTTTAAATAAACAGTAATTTTATCATCGTAAAACACACTGCATTCAGAGTCGATGCTAGTAAAATAAAGCTCACAAAACTCATCTTGGTTTGTCTCTCCACTGTTCCAACAATCACCAGCTCTGGTTTGGTTAGATGTGAAAACATGCTGGATTTATACACGCTAAAATTACTGTTCATTTAAATGGAGTCTGGTTGGTTTGGGTATGGGGATTTCAGGGCTGTTTCTGGTTAAACAAAAAGGGTCTTACTCTTTTAACAAAAGGTCTGTCTCTGTGGAGACACTTAAGCGCCTTTTACACTGCCTGTTTAAGACGGGAATATCGTCCTATTATGCCACCTTGTCCTTCTGTATAAAAGGCACAATCGCGTAACGGGGACAGAGTTGTTTCACTTTTAAGCTGGCAGTAGAGGTACCAACAGTGCTGTAACAATGTCTGTAAAAGGGACAGTCAGCAAGACAGGATCATGGACAGGACAGGTGTGACGTTTTGAAGACCTGTCAGTGTGTCACCACTGGAGATTTAAAAAGTAGCTGATAGCAGCTAGCAGCAACTGAAAGAGAAATAGCGACTGAAAATGTCTGCAAATTGGGAAAACAGTGAGGTATGGGAGCTCCTTACTCTCCAAGCAGAGGACGAGATCAGGACAGAGACGGTTACTGTTAAGAAAGTGCTGCTGAAGTGTATATGTCACACTAGAGGCCTACACTGTTGTGTTACCCGTCACGCTAGTCACGCCTCTTATGCCTCTGGGATGCCGACATGCTGTCTAAAATCTAATAGTCGATCAAACATTAGTCGACTAGAAAAACAAAACAAAACAAAAAAATAAATAAGTGAATGTTAAACTCTATTAGGAGCTGCAACGTCAAAATAAACCAAAACCCATATGACTGGACCATGTGGGAATTTAATTTGAAAGGACAGACACAGGAAGTGGCCACGCTCAGCGGTCAGACAGGAGTCAGGTTAATTTACAGTCCTGGTACCGGTTATTCCACAGGCTAATTAATAACATGTCGGGCAGGAAATCCAAAGTGTGAGATCATTTTGAGAAGGTGAAGGACAAACCCAAGGTGATATGTTAACTCATCTTCATTGGTCGACTACAAACATGACGTATCATCTGAAACATGTTAGTAGCTACATGCCCATTAGCCACTTAGCACAATCATTACTGCTTTGCTGACAGCGTCATTAACAGGCGGCTCGCTCAGTGTGTGACGTGCACTTGTAGATAAAATATAGGCCTATATTAATGAAGGTTTTGTATTTCTCTGTAATTTAGCACAGTATTAACAATGTTACTGATACCATAAGGACAGAGGGATGTCGTATGCTGTAAAGCCCTGTGAGGCAAATTGTGATTTGTGATATTGGGCTTTATAAATAAAATTGATTGATTGATTGATTGACTATTCTTTCTCACACCTTAAACTCAAACCATTGTGTTGCCCCGCACAAAATACATAATTTAATAATTAAATTAATATCGTAAACATGCGGGCGACTAGTCGACTAATGGCCCTAAATGACGACTATTGGTCGACTAGGAAAATTCTTAGTCAGGGACAGTCCTACTGTTTTGCAGCTGCCGGCTACAGCCTTGTCACTCAACACTGGACCACTTCCAAAACTTGTTTTTGCTACAAGTCATTTAGACAGAAAAACATGGAAGTCCAGGTTGAGAAATACCAAACTCACCCTTTAACCTGTAAGTAATGGACATTTTTAATCCTTGTGCTGTTTTATTAATTATCTTTTTTTTGTGACAAAATCTGTCCTGCACTCAGAGAAAAGTCAAATTCAAGCTAACCATATAGCATTGATAGTTACAGTCACATTGAGGTTGCTTTCTTTGAATTCTGACTTTTTCATAGTCTGTTGTTTTGTTGCATAATTGTTCCTCTGTCTGTCCCCTTTGTTATTTTATGATGACCAAAAGGTGAAACTAGTATCTTCAGCAGCGTCCCTCTGGGCTTCTACATCATGGGCAGCATGTTGATGTTAGTTGGTGCCAGATACCTCGCAGGTCAGTGTTGACTTCCTTAGCGTTCTACATGTGCTTATTGCAGTTTCAGTCTGAAAAAACTAAGCAAATACATTTAAATAAATTTGAATAAATGTCTTCATAATGTGTGGTTTATGTTTTTGTTCCATTCACAGAATGTATTGGTTTATGGGTTGTTGTTTTTCTGTTGACATCAGGTCGTGACTAGGCTCGGACTCGTGTAGGCTTTGAGAGCAAAGTGGGACAAACACTCTTCTTGCTGGACCACCACTGGTACTCTGGGTTGCACCCTTTTTCCAAAAAGGCATTCCAGGAGAGAGCCGCTCCTGCTGAATCTTACCGGAAAACCAGGACAAGTTTAAACTGGGAGGTTTTTCTTTAATATTGTTTTTATTTGTTAAAGTTAATGCATTTTTCTCTGCAGCAGACATCGGTACGTTAAACATTAATTTTAGCAGGGGTGTGCATGCAGTATTTCTTTTTCTACGATGTTGATATGAGGAACATCTGAGCTTATTTATGTAGTCGACATTGTTGTCCCCACCGCTGTGTGAAGTTCGCCATTTAATTTATCGCCACCTGTTGTTTATGTGATGTTGTTCTATCCCTCCACTATGTGCAACAGAGGAAGTTTAAGAGCACTTTATATTTTTGTTTTGTCTCGTGGGAGTTGTGTACTAATACAGTCTAATGTATGTTTTTTCTAACACTTGGGATTAAGGCACAGAAGGTTTAAGAACGTAAAATGAAAACAAGGGAGGTCTGATAATCTGATGTTCTTGTTTTTTTTTTTGGAGGAAGTGGTGAGCTTGTTCACACTGTTTAATGTTTTTAAACAGTAAAAATATGTATTGTGTAAAGGAGAAAAGTGATGAAGGGCAATCATGACTTGGCAGACAATTTTTGGTTCACACAGGAAATGTGAAGACTTAAGAATATACATGTATAGCCCTGTTTCCACCAAACACTTTAGGTATGGTACCTTTGGAACCAAAAGTAACCCTTCAGACATGGCACCTAGACCCTAGCTCCGTTTAGTGTTTCCAACTCATGCACTGAGTAACATTACAAGTTAACGTTCCACCTTAAAAGTCGCCGGCAGTCTGCCCAGTGAATTGAGTTGTTTTTTTCTCATTTTACTAATAAAACTCTCCACAATATGAACAGTGGTTACATGAGCCTCAAAACCAGCCACAACTCAGCCTTGAGCAGAGTGACTGTCTGCTATTGACCAATCAACAGAATGCAGTGTCCACAGCTCCACCTTTTAGTATCAGATCTGTATGCTAGGTACCCCAACAGAGGGGGGACCAAAAATGGGGATGGTACGGAATGGTCCCATTGGTACCATCCACAACTTGTCACAGTGGAAACAGAAATTCTCCCAAAGCTTAAAACCAACTACGAAGATCATTAAGGGACAAAAACTGACGCAGCTGTTAATAGGTGATTTATTTTGTAGACCAAAATGTTAGTGTAGCTTTTATTTAAGTACATGGATCTACACCCTGTATGATTTTTTTGTTGGGTTTTTTTTTGTTTGTGAGAACTGTTATGAAACTGACCAAAAATAAAATCACTACTTTCCACATAACTTATATTTTCTGGCTACAAAAAGATTTATTTATCCAAGGAAATTCACAATCGTGTCACTGCAGTGAAGTTCGGCTTTTTTGTATGATAAAATTAATATGGGAATTAATTTAAATTAATTAATTTAATTGTAAAAATTTATTTTAAATTAATTTAAAAGGAGAAAAATAAAAGCATAGAACCAAATATTGCTAAAATAGTTCCCTTTTTGGTATAGTCCTGGTTTGAGGAGTTAAGCTTGATGTCTTTTTGTTCTGTTGCCGAACATTTGTCATATTTGTCTTGGATGGTGGATATGACTTGATCCTTGATGAAAGGTGGCGGCAGAACAGTTATTTTGCCCAAGTGTGTTGGTTAGTGTGTAGGATTCAGGGGCATCTCTGGAATATAATGTGAATGACTTTGTTTTCATTAGTTTATAATCACCTGAAAATAACATTTGTTGTGTTTTCGTTACCTTAGAATGAGCCGTTTATATCTACATACTTCCACAAAGTCCGCCATGTTTCTACAGAAGCCCAGAATGGACAAACCAAACACTGGCTCTAGATAGGCCCTTATGTGATTTTGTGTTGGCAGATGGGAGAAGTCTCAGTTCTGCAACACCATTAGATGCCATTAAAGCCTTCACACTGGACCTTAAAGAAATGGTTTTGTATTAGCTCTGTATAGTTTTGTGCAAGTGAAGGCATGAAATCACTGCGTTAAAAGTGCTCTCAGTTTACTAACGGATGTTCATGATTGAATTGAATAAAAGGGAAATGTCATCTTGAGAAGAGAAGCTTTAACTCAAGTGTTTTACCCTGAATTCAGAGACTTAAAATGACGGCAAGCATGAAAGCAAAGTGTGCTACCTACTCTCATACATGACCTTTAACTGTGAAATTGTTGGTTTTCGTGACGAGTCGTTTCATATCAAACAATGAAAACATGTCTCCACCCTTTTGCTGCTCACTCTGCATGTCATTTCCTCCAACTCCTTCACAGTGGCATCGGCATTAAAAGGAAATAACGCAAAGCAGTACCGCTCTGATTGAAATGTATAAAATGAGGAAACATTTTGTGCTAATGTCATCACCTCTTATGTACAGAAACGTTTATGGAAGAACAAATGTCATGAAAAAATAAACTTTAGTTCTGAAATTTACCGTTGAACTTTGTTTTTTTTAATGTGCAAACTTATACCCAGTTGTGGAGGAAGTATTCTGATCTTTTACTTAATTATAAGTACTGATACCAAACTGTGAAAATACTTAATACAAGTAAAAGCCCTGCTTTTAAACTTCAGCAGGTGCTTAAGTATGAAAAGTAAAAGTACTCATTGTGCTTTAAAATGTTTTCTGTCCATGTTTAAATATTACGTATGATGTTTTGGGGTTAATATTACTGCCGCATTAATGTGTATCTTACATTTTACTGCTGTAGCTGCTTCAGATTGTGCACATTTGAGCTCCAATATACTGTTAGGTAGTTTAATCTTCAGCGAATCAAATGTAATCATATGTATGAGAGAACAAACAGACATGATGTATCACATGACAAATGTAAGCTTTGCAACGGCCTCTCTTGTTCATGTTGTATTTACAGAGGCAACACAGACACAGGCACCCACCCATATACTCCCAGTGGCCTCTTAATTATGTACACCTGTTCAGCTGCTCGTTAACACAAATAGCTAATCAGCCAATCACATGGCAGCAACTCAATGCATTTAGGCATGTAGACATGGTCAAGACGACCTGCTGCAGTTCAAACCGAGCATCAGAATGGGGAAGAAAGGTGATTTAAGTGACTTTGAATGTGGCATGGTTGTTGGGGGGCACACTTTGGGCCCCTTAGTACCACTGAGCATGGTTTAAAACAGGAGATTCACATCATGGATGTGCAGCCGACAAATCTGCAGCAACTGTGTGATGCTATCATGTCAATATGGACCAAAATCTCTGAGGAATGTTTCCAGCACCTTGTTGAATCTGTGACACCAAGAATTAAGGCAGTTCTGAAGGCAAAAGGGGTCAGACCTGGTACTAGCAAGGTGTACCTTATAAAATGGCTGGTGAGTGTATTTAATAAGACAGTTTTATGGGAAACTCTGGAGGGTAAAGACAGGGACATATTAAAATGATTTAATCTGTAATTCTAATATTAATTTCTAGTTCCCATTTCTGTTTCGTTTCCATAGTGTTATACTCTATATATGTGGAAGGAAACTCACAGTGTTGTCCTGGCATAGTGCGTTTATTTTTAGAGAGAGAATATGCTAACTGTAAATTTCTTATGAAAAGGAAGTATATTTTGAAAACAGTCAATGCATGTAGGACTTGACACGGTGTCCCACAGTGTCTACAACCAACGCAACCAGGGTATCTTGCATGTTGCATCTCGACATCGAAAGTCCATGACCAAACGTTGATATGTGACAAGGTTGGAGTGAGATGGAGTGGATGTGTTGGTCAATCAGAGGCAGAGAAAGGCAGAGAAGGGCGGGTCATACCTTTGCCATCCTAGGAAACTCAAATTTGTACCAAGCATGTAGGAGAACTATGATGGCTGACGAAAATGCAAACGGCCCTATCTCACCAGTGTTTGATTTGTCCGTTATAGGCTACTGTTGAACAACATGGCGGACTCTGTGGGGGAGGACCTGCTCTGTATGTAGATATAAACAGATTTTTTTTTAAGGTAACAGAAACAGTTCATATTTTCAGGTGATTATACACTAAAGAAAACATACTTTTGAATATTCTATTCAATTTTTGCCAATATATCCCCCTACACCCTACACACTGGAAGAGAAGTACTTAGTTACATCCAACCACTGTTCATCTGTTCAGTTGCTTTTTTAAATTAGTAACCTACACCACACACTCAAACAAGCACTCAGTGTATCTGGACCAAAGCCAAGCACAGCCTGCCTGCCTTTACTTAGGGAAATCCCAACAAATAATAGCTGTTAAAAAGGGGAGTGGTTTGTGCAACAAATGCAACTTTAATACCTACAATACCATTTAGTGAGCGTTAGGTACATTCAGTTCTGAGACAGCAACGCTTCCTCCTGCAGATGTTCCAGGGGTGACATACAGCTTGACCTTTAACAGGTGTGTAAAACTGTAAATGATGATGTTTTTGTGCATTTATAAAGAAAATATCACATATAAATGTTACAAAACAAAGACAGTAGCCTACAACTGCTTCCTTTATGGAAAACAGACAGAAAAATATTTGCTTAGTGATATAAAACCTTTTTTTCTTTGCTATGTTAGGCTGACCAAACGTCCTCTTTTGCCCGGACGTGTCCACTTTTCACGTCCCGTCCGGGGCGTCCGGGGGGGGTTTATAAACTGATGATAATGTCCGGTTTTCCGTGTGTTTGTGTGTGTGTGTGTGTGTGTGTGTGTGTGTGTTAGAGTGCGGCACGGGCAGCATATTTCTGTCCGAACCCGAACCGAGCCCGACATTATTTAATGACCAAAGCACTGAGTTTGTGTCACACAGTGGTTACAGGCTATTTAACAGGCTGGGCGTGCGCCGTGGGTGCTCAGCTGCGGAGAGGGAGACCTCCGTGTTTGAGACGGGAGCGGGAGGCGGGAGGTCCGACGCTTCTAGCGAGAGGAGAGGGAGAAATAAAACAAAATAAGATGAAATAGGAAAAACCTGTCTCCCTCTTTTATTTTATTTTCAGCGTTTAATCAAGGCGGAGGCGGGCGGCTGGAGGTCCGAGACTTCCAGAGTGGAGAGAAATAGAAACAAACAGCCAATGTGTGTCTGTGTGTGTTATGTTCAGGTGTTGTCACGTAAATAACAGTGCCCAAGCAATTAACAGGACAGACAATAGGATTTTATTTATTTTTACACTACATTTTCACTGAAAGCTGACCGAATCCGACCCGAGCCCGAATACAATTTATAGCTACATTTTTGACCAAACCCGGACCGACCCGTCGGGTACCGTCGGGCTCGGATCGGGTAGCCACATTCTAGTGTGTGTATGTGTCCCCTATTGGGGCCTATCTGAATTTCTGTCTTTGAGAGATATTATTTTGTAATATAACTGAATTTTGTATCCATACATATAAATTTTATATATATAAAAATTATAAGGCATCTTTGAGTAAACTGCAAGTATCATTTAAGTAGGCTATGTCGTGGCCGGCCGAGTGTCCTCTTTTTTGGAAATCAAAATATGGTCACCCTATGCTATGTGAGTATTAATATTTAAAGTTTGCTCAGCAGTTCAGTTACTGATTGACTTATAAAGGCTGTGGCTTCGCTTATGTGTGCAGTGAACTCAGTTTATTTGCATACTAACTGACCTTTAGTACCTCGTTTACTGTTTTAGGAGTGGACTATAAACTTGATAATGGCATATTGTTTTTAATATGTGCAACTCTTTGCAGATCATCATTTACTTTATACTTGCTTTTCTTTAAAATATTATATCCTAATATAAGTTATAGACCATTTACTGTGTAAATCAGCTTGAAATGTAATGCATAACAATAGTGATCAAACTAAATTTACCTTTTAGCATTCATTCCAGGATCAACTTTAATTCAGTAGCACAAAATGTTTAAGACCTTTATTGTGAAACTGACAGGCCTCGCCCTCTTCACCTGTCAACCAGGAAGTTGAGCCAGGTGTGGGTCATTTTGTGTGGCAGTTGTTCGTCATTTCTGCATTTCTGGTCTTGCGGCGACGTGAAGGCGGCAGGAAGGTGAGTCAGCTATTTTCATATCCCACCTTGTTTCTGACACTTGACTGGGCCGTGTTGACAGCCACTTTACATTCCAGGTGTGTGACACGGTGTTAATAAATGAATACTTAAACATGTTGGATCAAAGAGGGAACGAGACCAGAAGGAGCCAGATTCTGCCCATGGAGACCAGCTTCAACCACAACGATAAAGGTTAGTTCTTATCACTGTGGTCATCGGATACACACGTTCACCACTTTCAATGTGTGAAATTGAAACCACACTCTCTAATCTTGTTGTTCCTGAACATTTGATTCCACTTGTATTGTTTTCAAGACTCAGGATAACCAGGAAGTGCTGTGTGTTTAATCTGCGCCACTGCTGGCATTCGAGGGCACGTCACAACATGACTTTGACCCTGTGCTTGTTTTAAACACCAGCTTTAAAGTTTTTTATATTAAGCTGTTTTAGCAAAGTGTGTGGGAATACTACGACAGTAGAATCTTCAACGAGGATAAACTCCTTATCTGCTTGTTTTTTTGAGCAGTGTTACCTGACATGTTAATAATCACACTGAACTTTGAATTTATGCCCTTTAATCCCAACTTTTAGGATGGTGTGACCACCAAACAGCAGTCTGACAACTCATTTACTATCAGTGGTGGAAAGTAACTAAGTACATTCACTGTACTAAGTGAATACTTAGTAGTTTACTTTATACTTCCACTCCACCACATCTCAGAGGAAAATATTTTACTTTTTACTCCATTTCAGTTATTTGATAATTTAACAAATTCAGATTAATAATACAAAATTAAATTAAATTTAAAATTAAAATTTAATATTTAAAATAGATGATATTTAAAAGAAAAAATAAATACAAAAAAGAGTAGAAAATGCCAAAGACAAGATTTTAAAAGCAGAGGCAATAAATTACGAGGCACCATTACATAAAAGTGGTGATGGTGTTGATGAAATGAGATAAGATGAGATGAGATGAGATGAAGAGGGAGCTGAGAATCTGGATGTGAAGAGGAGCGGGCTTTTGACGAGCTCATCCTGGGCTCTGGATAAGGTGACTGGAGGTGAATGGGGTGGAGGAGGGTATAATGATTCTGTCTAAAATGCCAGCTGACAGGAGCAGAGAGGAGAACAGATGTAAAGTTTGGCAGCAGCAACATGAATGGCTGAAGGAGATCGTGGCAACATTTCATTGGAGGAAGTGGTGTGAGTGGGATAGAGAGGGGAATTGAGAATGGATGTAGCCTGAAGAAAGTCTTCCTGATTAAAATTTTGCTGAGCTTAACACATATTCTGAAGTGGGTCATTCTGCATCATGGCTACTTTGCCTTTGTTACTTTGAAGCTGATACTTTTGGACTTTTACTCAAGTAAATTGTGAATGCAGGACTTTTACCTGTACTTTTAGTACAGGTAAGTATTAGATCTGAGTACTTCTTCCACCACTGTCTAATTCACTGGAACTTGATGCAAAGTTCAACAATTAAAAGTACAGTTTTTAAGGTATTTTTCTTGCTGCCAGAGATGCACCAAGTCATTGTTTTGCATGTCACAAGTAAGTCTCGAATCCCAAGTCAAGTTCCAAATCCTAAACTTTGAGTTTGGAGCCCTTAACAAATCATAATGTGCTCTTTACCACACGTCATGCAGCTTTAACAACAGTGTTATAATATATTAAATTTACAAAATCATGAATGCTTTTAAACACTTGTATTTATTTGTTAAAACAGGTTTGTTGGAGGTTGTTGTATCTTTATTTGTACAACAATGGGAAATCAGATAAGAAAGACATCATGTAACATGTGACATTAATGTAACATGTGTAACGTATTGGATCCTATAGATCCATTGTGTACTAGCTTTTTAAACCGGAGGCTACTGTTTTAAAAGTGCACAGACAGTGTCCCAGTGGTCTTCCAGCCCCTTATCAAAGTCTTTAACAGACATGCAGCCTGTACGACATTAAGCAAGTCCAGGTATTTCTTGAATTAGTCTCTTAGTAGATAAGCAACCCAACGTCCACAGGCGCTCAGCAGTGACTCCACCATTACTGTCAAGGTATGTCAAAGTCTTGAGTCATTGGTGTTAAAGTTTTTTGATTTAGTCAAGCTACAGTTAGCTTCCCATTGCAGGCTTTAATGGACAAGGGGACAAAAGAGTTTTTAAGGTGGTAAAGCCTGCACTGGGGGACTCTAAAGTGTCTGCCTGAGGGGAGAAGTTGGTACTTGTGATGAGGACGTGGGCAGGGTCTGATAGAATCTTCTGGGCCTGTCTGATAATGGTTTGCTCAAAGATAGACTGAACTGTGGCATGCTGCCTGACTCCCATGTGAGTTGGGCCTTCAGTTGGACACTGAGGTCGCCAAACCAGGCTGAGATGCTGTACTGCAGGATGCTCTATATGGCATGGTAGGAGAGGAGCAACACTTTCTGGTTGACTCCAAAGACCCTCAGCCTGCAAAGGCAGTGTAAGCGCTGTCTGACCCCGAGTGCAGACCTTATCTATCTGAGCACTCCACGTTAGTTCATGGTCGATGTGTATGCCAGGTATTTTTATGATTCAATCTGGGCCATGTTTTGGCCATGGATAACCACTGGTGAATGGTTTCTACTGCATGTGAGTAATGTGACTGATTTCAACACTCAGCCACTCCTACTCAAGACGGTTTCTCTTTGTTACAAACCTGTTTGGTCTACTTACCAAAACGTTGCAGCATTAAAATCTTTGTTTTGGCAAGTTAGGCAGCGGGCGGGAGTTTTTCTACAAGTCAAGCCGAGTCTAAAATCCTTAAATTTGTTACTCAAGCTCACACCTTTGCTTGCCACCACTTTTTTACATCAGCTCTACTACATTTCAGAGGGAAATACTGTTTCTTTTGCAGATAAATTATTTAAGACTTGACATTTCATTTACACACCAGTTTATTTTGGAAGTATTAACAAGCTGATAATATTATAACACTCACTTGTCCATTTTTCTAGGGTATGAGAACTTTATTTTACTTAAGAGCAATTTTGAATGCAGGACTTTTACTTTTGTTTTTACAGTGTATGTGTATGTACTTGGTGTCACTTAAGTAAAGGATGTCAGCTCCCATGCATGTGTTTGCCAACTACTTCTGATGTATGATGTAAATTTACGATTGTTTAACCGTCACTTTCCCCCCTCAGGCCTTTTTATCACTGATCTCAGACCGCCTGAGTACGTCCACGCTGTGCACAAGAAGACAGTGAAAGAGCTGCTGCTGATGAGACACGAGGTGAGTCACAGGTCAAACCGGTATTTGTACAAGAACATGACAAGACAAGTGTAGTTCACGTTTTATACTAAGGTTTGGATTTCACAGAATATATTGCAATCGACTTATTACTCATGTTTTATCTGTTAATTTCTTCTTGAGTGTGTTGCCTGTCTTGCTTAGTTTACAAGGAGAGACAAAGTTTGTTCAGTATGAGGAAGCAGTGGAGCATTCCTTCACTCCACTGATAGGCAGCAAAGTCCAGGTTCTTAGTATGCAAATCATTTACAGCACACGTGGGTGGGTAAAAAAAAAAAAAGAAAAAAAAAGACTATGCCACATTACAGTCAAGCTTTAGTAAAATAAAAGTATTTCTATTATATATTAATGACGTCAAGTTTTTAAAAATGATCCCACTATTTAATGCTCCGGAGAGGATTCACAGCTGCTTTTGACGGAGATCACAACAGAAATTAATAAACTGAGAAGATGGTTTGACAAAAAACAAATGATGTTATTTGGAAATTGAAAAATTGATACATATACGTGCAAATGAAGATAGATAATGTTGATATAGAAGAAGTGTGAACATCCTTAGATCCACAGACCCTGGGATGATGTGTTCGCTCAGTGACCGCCTCACTGATGTTAAAAGCTGGATGTCAAAACAGTTTCTTCAGCTGACTCAGACAAAACAGAGATTGTTGTCATCGGTCCCCTGTTGGATAATATCAAACCTGTTGCGGGAAATCTTGGAGTCTGGTTTGACAAAGCTTGTGCAATCATGTCTTTATCATCTTTGAAATATTTAAAAATTACGATCCATTTTAACTTTTAAAGACACAGAGACAGTTTTACACACCTTCATCTCTGCACGCCTGGGTCACTACAACAGCCTCTTTTCCTGCCTGAATCAAAAATCTATTAATCAACCTCAGACTGAGTTCAGCTGCCAAGAGACGTGATCACATCACTCCAGTTTAAGTCCCTTTACACTGGCTCCCAGTGTGTTTCAGATTTTAAGATTGTACTGATTACTTTTAAGGCTCGTCATTGTCTCTCTCTCTCAGCTATATCCCCATATGCACCAGGAAATACTGTGTGGTCCTGCAGGCAGAGGTCTTTTGTCTGTCCCAGAGGCCCGTCTGCCCGAGGGAATCAGGTCGGCCGAATCGGTGGTCTCTTTAATGTCCATTCTTAAAACATACTTTTATTTGAGAGCCTTTCCTGATACTGAAAATAAACACTGTAAATGATAATAAAGTCCCAATGTCCTTCAGTGAGCTGATGATTAATTCCCAATGTCTTCAACTGAGTTCTTTCTAAGGAGTTTGTTATTGTTGCTAAAATTGGTCAAATTTGTATGGCATATCAAACTACTGATATTATTCATGATAAATAAACAAGTTTCAACCATAAAATGTGATCAGGTTTTGGACCTTGTTCACTTTTGTGTCGGGATCAGCTGCAGACTGACTTGGCAGAGATGGCTACCTTCTTGTTTTTACATGGATGAGTGTATTGTGGTCTTACTACCACTAGATGGCACAAAAGTGTCTAAGCAGAATGAAGTATAAGGTCCAGTAAAACCAAAAATGTAATTTCCTCTAATGAGGACACAGGGTCTCGGGAGGATACACATTACACATATAACCAAAAAGTAGTTTGGGAAAGTTGTTGACAATTTCCTTTTTAAATGAGGCAAGAACACTGAGAAGTAGGAAGGATTATGTAAGTGCACACTTTTCCTTGCTCCTTGTTGAGCATGTCTGTTGATGTTTTGTTTTGTTTTGCTCAAAATATGCTTGGAAATATTTTTCTTTCAGAAATGGAACCACTCACAGGACGACATCTACCCGGTCCATAAATTCAAATCTCCAAAATCTGAAGCTCCTGTCAGTGACCTGAGTCCTCACCAGTGGGACCCTCCAGGACCAGGAAATATATTTGATATTAAAAATCATGTCCCTGCTGCTTCTCCTGAAAATGGACACATTCCTCCACAACAAACGCAACATCAAGCTCTGCAGGGACCAGCGGCTATGACTGCTGAAGTGAAGACTTTATTTGACTGGCAGATACAGAGAGAGGGACAGAGGGTTGGAGAAGTGTCTCCTGAGACGCTGAGCATGCAAGATGCAGATGGTGACACGTATGTATTATAAAGTTTAGAGCTAAAAGTAACAGATAAATGGTTAAAACAAATGCAAACCGAAACACTGATACATAAACATCATTTGTATGTGGATATAGTGTAACTGTGTTTTCTTCTCCATCCGTCAGAGCTCTCCACATTGCAGTGGCACAAGGTAAACGGGCTCTAGCTTATGTGCTCGCTACAAAAATGGCTCAATGTGGCTCTGTGGATGTGAAAGAACACAATGGCCAGGTACAAATTCTTAACAAGGTTCTTCATCTCAATTATTAGCGCAAATGTAACAAGACTAACATGTTGTAAACCCCTTCTCTTTGAACACAGACAGCTCTTCAGATAGCAGCCGCCACCAATCACCACTTAATAGTCAAGGACCTATTGGAACATGGAGCACAAGTCGACACTCGAGACCTGTGGGGTCGTTCTCCTTTACACTTGTGTGCTGAGAAGGGACATTTTCTCAGTCTTCAGGTAAGATTTAACTGTGAGTGCATCAACACAAGTCACGTTCAAATGTCACTGATTTGACATCAGTTTAGCACCGACCAAAATGTTGATGCAGCGTGTTTGATTTCAACCTAAAACATTAATTTTGACTCCCTTTTTGAAGGCCTCCATCAGTCAATCAATTTTTACTTTATACTTTTTACTTTGTAATGATATACGGTACATGTGTACCATTACAGGCTTCATTGGTATGACATTTAACATGTGCTGCCAAAGCACAATTACAATTAAGAGACAGTGAATGAAACGAATGAAAAAATCTTTAAAAGAAAGTTTAATAGAATCACAATAATAATAAATTCATGTGTATGACTGTATCCATTTCAGGGTTTATTATGTTTTTTGTTTCATGTAATTTGTAATACTTTTTACTCTTCTAAACTGCTTGTTAAGTAAAAAATACCTCAAAGTTAAGTTGAATTTTAGGGATCGTTATTTTAATTGAATTTTTACTGACATAAAATGAAGATGCCATTGATTACAGCTGAGCAGAATAAGTGAATATTGTGTGGGCTTCATTACTCGAAGTTCAGTTTTTGAGCAGTCTGCAATGCTCAGCAATCACCACTGGGTGTCATCATATCCCTCATTCCTTTCTTCCATCCCCATACTCCCAAGAAAACAACAAAAAACAAAACAAAATGAAGAAATAAAATAAAATCTAAAAAATAAAACAAAGTAAAATAAATAACATTAAAAAAAAGTATACTTAACAGTGGCATAAATATAGACAGTGCAGTCAGTACAGCTGCACTGGAGCCCGTGAGGTGGGGGCCCACAGAGAGAGTAGGCCCTCCAACAATGTGTTGGGTGGAGAACGGGCCCTTGTGAGTGATTGTCACCTTGAAAATATGCCTGTGTTCAATGAAGAACTTTTTTATTTTTGTAAAACAAAATGACATAGTTATTCTACAACTATGACGCATGATAGCGTGCACTAGGGCCCACCGTAACTCCTTTACGCCATTGATACTCTCAGCCTTCCATCAGCAGAGTGATCACACTAACAATGACAACACTTTCACAATCAGCAGTTCATTTCATTTCCACTGGGTGTCCACACCTTGCTGGCTCACAAAAGGGTCTGTGACAACCAATCTGTTTAAAAAAAAAAAAAAAAGCATTATACCTAGCAACAAGGCAACCACACCTCCTCACTAAGATAAACGTTTCTGCCTCTTCTTTGCTCTGAAAACTTTTCTAAATCACTCCAACAACAATGTATTCCAGATTGTTCCTTGTGTTGTAATATATTTTTCTTTCTACACTGTCTTGATTTCTGTTTAAACTTCTTCCCACAGAGCATCTGGAGGACCCTGATGGGCAGCGGGCAGCTAATCGATATTGAAATGTTCAACTATGATGGTGCGTGTGTTTTATTTATGTTAAAACCTGGTATTTATGATGCTTCTGTAAAGTGTCTTTGTGATTAAATGCTGCTGTTCTCTGTCTGGAGGTTTAACCCCGCTGCATGCAGCAGTCCTGTCTCACAACGCTGTTGTTAAAGAGCAGAGGAGTCTGGAGAATCTTTGCTCATACATGGCAAAGGAGCTGGTGCAGAAGACACAGATGTATGTGGAGTGTATAAGAACTCTGCTGCTCATGGGCGCCTCCTGTGGGACAAAGGTAACTATTAAAACTAATGGGGAGAATTTGACTTTGGTCCATATGAGTTTACAGGGTTTTTTAAACTTCTGAGTTATTATAAACTGTTCTGAGCAAAACATGATGCTGAATTTAGCAGCAGACTTCAGTAATATAAAAGAAATAACTTTTGGCATTCATTGTTTTATGTGATATAAAGGAAGTACGGTAAATAAGTAACACATTCTCAGCGCTAAATTACATATCATTTCTGCAGGATCTAAAAAGCGGACGGACGTGTCTTCACATAGCTTCCGAGGAGGCAAATGTGGAGCTGCTTAACATTTTCCTGGACCTGCCATCTTCACTGTCAGTCGTAAATGTTAAGGTAAGTTGTTTTGTCGTAACAGAATCAAAGTGAAATGAGTGTAACACACACACACACACACACACTGCTGTGTAACATAAAGTGTAACTGTATGTTGCAGACATTCAGTGGGAACACGGCCCTGCACATTGTCAGCTCTCTGCAAAATCACAAAAGTCAAGTGGAAGCAGTGAAGCTGCTGATGAGAAAAGGAGCGGACCCCGGGACCAGGAACTTTGAAAATGAAATGCCGTCTCAGCTGGTGCCTGAAGGACCCACCGGTGACAAGGTACGCTGTGTGAATTCATGACTACAACAAAGGTAATGCTGGAATGTGAGGCATTTGAAAACATACTGTAACCTGAGTATACAAGAATATTGAGACAATTAACCAACAAAATAAGTCACATTATCAACAAACATTAATGATTATAAATTATAGTGTGTGTTGTCTGAGAATCTACCCGTTCAGTTTGATAGACTGAGTGATGATTTGAGTTCTGTCTTGTTTTCCAGGTGCGGCAGATCCTGAAAGGAAAATATTTTCATGTTTAAATGAAGCTCAAAAACGCTGTCAGTCAGACAGTCCAGTCTATCTTATTATTATTTGCCAAAACCAGGCAGATGTTGGTTGTTTCTGTGAAACATGCCAAATTGTTCATTACCATGTAATGCTTAAGGAGAAAGTGAGGATATGATTTGTGTTTTTGTTGTTGTTTATCAGCCTTTTTCATTTAAGAGGTAACTTTGGCATTTTTTAACCTTGACTGATGGAACAACAATTTTTGAAACTGGTCCAATGTAACCAGTCGGCCATAGCACCTTAATTTTCGAAAGCCAAAAAAAAGGGTCCAGGTTGAAAAATACCAAACTTGCTCTTTAAGCTGATACATCCAGATTGCTATACAATGAGCTAACATGCTCCGTAAATCTGTATTTGTTGTGTTTTGGATGATGATTTATGATTATTGCTGAAGCAGTCAATCCTGTTTGAAGAAATTTCACTGCTAAATTTTATATTTTTGGTTTATTTAGTTCAGTCGAAAGTAGAAATGTTATGCTGGATATCATTTACATTAGCGGTTAGCATGCTGTAGTTTATTTTAAAATCATTCTATTATGGTGTCATTAAAGTCGTGTGTGTATAATAATGTACATTTTCCTCAAAGGTTTAATATTTTAGTTCAGGTAGAAAACATAGATGTTCAATCACTGGACTGACATATTCTGACACTACTGTACTGCATTGTTTTGTCAAAACATTGTGTGATGTTATGACATGAAATTTATCACTTGAATCATTAGAAGAGATTTTTGATATGTTGTACATTTTGAACTGTTAGTTTTGTTTTGTTGATGGGTATGGGAATGTTCTGCAGCAAGTCATATTTTGCTGTACTTTTTCTTTTTTGGTGTTCATAAAGTCAAAATAATGTAGATTACAAAAAGTTATTAAACATTTTATTGTGAAATACATAGTGCTGACACATTTAGAGTAACTTTTTTAGTGAAAAGCTAATTTTGAATTTGATGTTTTTCTTAAATGCAGATGCTTTTCCTACATTTGTAAATGTTTGTTTTAATCTGAATGTCTAAAATGATCAATGTACCAAATGTCTCAGCTTCGGATCAATAAAGGTTTATATCTTCTTAAGTTTGTATGTTTACTTCAAACCAGAGATCAGCTGGGGTCTGTTTCAACTTTGAGTCTGACCCTGAACTCTGAGTTGACTAACCCTGAATTCTGGGTTTCAGAACAGCTGATCAGAGTCAGTTCAATCAACTCTGAATATGTTCAGTCTGAGTTCAGCTCGTGCAGTGAATGAAAAAAGCCATCATCAAGTCTACGATTCACCATGGCAACATGTCAATAAAAGGCAGAACCTCCATTTTAATTTGGTGGACCTAGACATATCAATGCATGAACGTGCTGATTAATCTAAATAAATTGTGTTAATAGGAATGTTATTTTTCAAATATTGTTGGAAAAGAAAAGCAGCCCTCTAGAAGCCATGATTCTCCTTCATGTTATAAAATGTGTTATTAATTTAGTTTATTTTAAAGGAATAACACAGTTTTCTCTTTTTATTATCTTCATTCTTGCCAAATTTGTTTAGGCCTATATTATTTTTATTATAGGCACTCTTCACTGAAAAAACGAAAAAACACAAAGACATAAACAGAGACTACAACATTTGTTCTGATGGAAATAATTGCAACGCCAGTGTTCATATAGTTATTGTTTTATTTATTAGTTTTTGTATATTAAGTTTAATTTCTGTAATGTTTTTATTTTCTGCCTACAAACTTAAAGGGCCAATGTGTAATATTTGGCATGGTTTATTGTCAATCTGAATCTGAATCTGAATATTCTACCCATTAATATGTTTATACAAGTGTATAATCGCTATAAAATAAAATTCGTTTGGTTTTCGTAGCCTTATAATTATGCTTTTATATATATATATATATAGCAAGGGCCTTGCTTTAGAGAGGTCGCCATCTTGCGCCGCCATGTATGTAAGGCAGCCCGAGCGGACAATCCAGCCAGCCAGAGAACGCGTTTCGTGTGTATAAATGAACCCAGAGATATTGGATGAAGCGAGATACCCAACTCAGCTCACTTCCTGATTCAGTGACGTCAGCACCACGCCCCCGTAGGAGACTTGCGGCAGCTCTGAATGTATTGTCGTCAATGAGGAAAATGAACGTGATCACAATTTATGGTCAATTATTTCACCCTGTAGTCACTAAAGTAAATATTGTGTTCATTTTCCACAAGCCACACATCTTACCAACATTCTGACACTAAAGCTGCATTTTTCATCCGCACAGATCAAGAGAAAGTTAACTTTGTTTGAGCCCTGTCCGTCTCAGAAAACAAGTTCTCGCGAGATCTTGTGATCTTGATAAACAGGCGATAAAATCACAGTTAGCTTACAAACAGTTATTTACCGCTAGTAATAAATAAAAAATGCCCAAGCTTTGTGCAACAATAGGCTGCAATAATAGGAAGAATGTATTTTCATTCCATTCTCGATCCGCATACACAGACATCCACAGAGCCTCTGTTCAACACGGTGGTGGGGAGGGGGGCGGTTGAGGGAGAACAGGCTCTGATTGGAGGGAGAGCTAACCACGCCCCCTTAGGAGACAGGAAGAGTAACCGTTTTCTTAACATTGGATAAGCCTACAGTTGGGTATCTCCCTTCATCCAATATCTCTGATGAACCAACGAAGACAGCGGAAGGAAGGAAGAAGGAGGAGGAAACAGCAGAGAGTGTTAGTAGTTCGTCGATAGAGAGTAATGAAAAGTTTTTTTAGTTATAAAGTTTGGGAATGGACCACACTTACCACGCAACAGGAGAGAATGAACCCGAACCGTCATCTGCGAGGAAAAGAAGACGCAACTTCACTCCTTGTGATGCACTCTCTGCGGCACTTTTGCTCCTGATGATATATCTCCCCAACGATGGTAGCAGTAGCACCAAATCCCATTATGTGCATTCAGCCTCTCTTCTCGCCCACTCAGCATCAAACACATGGAGTTCCTCATCTGTATGCTCTGGCTCAAACAGGTATGGCTCTGGGTCTGGGTCCGCTACAAGAAACTCTTCAAAATCGGAGCAGAGAGGGGAGGGGGGTCCCCACTCGGTATGGTAAACGAGTATGTGTGTATGAAGTGTGTCTGTTATGCTAGAAGAGTCAGAGTTTGGGACGGAGTCTTTTACCCCCTGGAGTGTTACCGGAGTTTCTGGAGTGCTCAAATAAACTGGCCTTTTTCCCGAACGCTCCTCTGGTCTCCTGCTCGTGAGGGATTCATTACAATATTAGATATTAGATTTCTAAATAAACATTCACCTCGTCGCTAGATAGACCTACTCCTGAAAAACTCGTGCGCAAGGCTTTTTGTCCCTACGAGGCCACCATCATTTACCCGATGGGAGGGGTGAGCGAGTGAGCCCTGCAATCTAGAATTTGACCACTGATGTCACTGTTTTCAACCCATTTTACACACTGGCCCTTTAATTAAATCACATGTCCAACGTTCTTTTTACTTTAGAGCTAGGTTTTACGAGGAGCTCCTGAAGGCCACACTGATTGGCACCAGATACACCTGAGAGGACAAACGGGCTCCTTCTAATCAGTGAAGTTACACTGAAAACTAGTCTGGAAATCGTTGTTGAACCAACGATTGACATACTATACTATGATATTTTATGGCATACTGTACTATGATATTTTTTGACATACTATACTATGACTTTTTTTTTACATATTTTACCATGACCTTTTTTTGGCATGCTATACTATGACCTTTTTATGACCTACGAAACTCTGACCTTTTTTTGACGGACTATACTATGACCTTTTTTTTTTACATATTATACCTTGACATTTTTTTTACATACTATACTATGACCTTTTTTTTGACATATTGTACCATGACATTTTTTTAACATACTATACTATGACCTTTTTATGACATACTATACTGTGACCTTTTTTTGACATAATATGCTAACTTTTTTTGACATGTTATACCATGACATTTTTTAACATACTATACTATGACCTTTTTCTTGATATAATATGCTGACTTTTTTTGATATGTTATACCATGACATTTTTTTGACATACTATGACCTTTTTTTGACATGCTATACTATGACCTTTTTTGACATACTATACTAGGGCCTTTTTTTGAAATAGTATACCATGACATTTTTTTGACAAACTAAACTATGACCTTTTTTTGACAGACGTGCTATGACATTTTTTTGACATATTATACCATGACATTTTTTTTGACATACTATACTATGACCTTTTTTGACATACTATACTATGACTTTTTTGACATATTATACTATGACCTTTTTTTCACATATTGTACCATGACATTTTTTTAACATACTATACTATGACATTTTTGACATACTATACTATGACTTTTTTGACATATTATACCATGACATTTTTTTGACTTACTATACTATACTATGACCTTTTTTTTGACATATTGTACCATGACATTTTTTGACATACTATACTATGACCTTTTTTGACATACTATACTATGACCTTTTTTCACATATTATACCATGACATTTTTTTGACATACTAAACTTTTTGACAGACTTACTATGACTTTTTTGACATATTATACCATGACATTTTTGACATACTATACTATGACCTTTTTTGACATACTATACTATGACTTTTTTTTGACATATTATACCATGACATTTTTTGACATACTATACTGTGACTTTTTTTGACATACTATACCATGACATTTTTGACATACTATACTATGACCTTTTTATGACATACTATACTATGACTTTTTTGACATATTATACTATGACTTTTTTTGACATACTATACTATACTATGACCTTTTTTGACATATTGCACCATGACATTTTTTTAACATACTATACTATGACCTTTTTTGACAATACTATACCATGACCTTTTTTTGACATACTATACTATGACCTTTTTTGACATACTATGCTATGACTTTTTTTGATATGTTATACCATGACACTTTTTTGACATGCTATACTATGACCTTTTTTGACATACTATACTATACTATGGCCTTTTTTGAAATATTATACCATGCCATTTTTTTGACATACTAAACTATGACCTTTTAGTGACAGACTTACTATTACTTTTTTGACATATTATACCATGACATTTTTTGACATACTATACTGTGACTTTTTTTGACATACTATACCATGACATTTTTGACATACTATACTATGACCTTTTTATGACATACTATACTATGACTTTTTTGACATATTATACTATGACTTTTTTTGACATACTATACTATACTATGACCTTTTTTGACATATTGCACCATGACATTTTTTTAACATACTATACTATGACCTTTTTTGACAATACTATACCATGACCTTTTCTTGACATACTATACTATGACCTTTTTTGACATACTATGCTATGACTTTTTTTGATATGTTATACCATGACACTTTTTTGACATGCTATACTATGACCTTTTTTGACATACTATACTATACTATGGCCTTTTTTGAAATATTATACCATGCCATTTTTTTGACATACTAAACTATGACCTTTTAGTGACAGACTTACTATTACTTTTTTGACATATTATACCATGACATTTTTTGACATACTATACTGTGACTTTTTTTGACATACTATACCATGACATTTTTGACATACTATACTATGACCTTTTTATGACATACTATACTATGACTTTTTTGACATATTATACTATGACTTTTTTTGACATACTATACTATACTATGACCTTTTTTGACATATTGCACCATGACATTTTTTTAACATACTATACTATGACCTTTTTTGACAATACTATACCATGACCTTTTCTTGACATACTATACTATGACCTTTTTTGACATACTATGCTATGACTTTTTTTGATATGTTATACCATGACACTTTTTTGACATGCTATACTATGACCTTTTTTGACATACTATACTATACTATGGCCTTTTTTGAAATATTATACCATGCCATTTTTTTGACATACTAAACTATGACCTTTTAGTGACAGACTTACTATTACTTTTTTGACATATTATACCATGACATTTTTTGACATAC